AGCCGCGGGAGGGACCGGGAAGGGGAGCTGGGTGTCCCGCAGCCGATGCCCGCAAGCTGGCATCGCGTAGGGCGGCCGGCATCGCTTTGGAGGAGGGGGACGCGGGTGGCTCCTAAACTTCGCCATAGTTGAGCATCATTTCCCTCCCCCCACGTTCCCCGTTACTTGTTATCGGAGCCGAGCTGTTGGCACGGGCTGCTCGGGACACCTGACAGGCCCGCGCAGGCTGCCGGCAGAAACACCCGCCTTGCCCTGCAGGAGGGAATTGAAATTGGCTGGCGAGTGGAGTCAAGTCCCTGCCCGGAGGACCTGACAGCCTAGGACTTTTCCGTGCAAACAAGAGGTGAAGAAGTGAAAAGAGACAGCCCTCGCTGTGCCCGGCAGCTGGGAAGCGTGGCGGGAGAGGAACCAGTTTTGTAGGATAAGGAATACATCAAAAATCCCACATGTGCTACTTAAAATGGTGCCTGTGGGGAGGTATATGGCACCAGCTCGTTACACAACAGTCCTTGGCTCTGCTCAGATTGTTGGGCCAGAAAGTCAACAGACATGTTCCTTGGTCTCAGCTAGGGATGTGAAAGGTTAACTGGTCACCTAGTTAACTAAACATGACCCTAAAGATGGTTCTAGTTAACTGGTAACCGGTGGGGCCTGCAGCAGCTTCTTTCCTGCCACGAACAGGGGGCTGCTCCAGCTTGGCAGAGGCCGCTCTGGCATCTGGAGCAGCCTCTGTCTCTGGGGAGCCTGGGGGCAGACAGGGGCTGCTCTTGCTTGGGCTGGGAGTTGGGATTCTTCTGCAGCCCCAGCCTCAGTGTGGGGTTGGAGGCAGAAATCCCAGGGATTTTACATCCCTAGTCTCAACCTCCTTGCCAACGTCTTTCTTTCTCCCTTAATATTACAAAATGTATATTGGATGCTAGGACTGCAAGGGATTTACAGGTATGTGTGGTGGTGGTCACCTCTAGCCACTTGTTGGGACCAAAAGGCAATGGTTTAGTCTCATACAAGTTGTACTACTATAACTACTGTGCATCCACAGTATCCGTATAAATGTTTTGGCTTGGGGAAAAAACAGGTTTTTGACTGAAATAGTTAAAGTGCTGTAAAATCTGAATTTTTATATATGCCCTTGTTCCATCTTAACAATTAACCTAAATCCCAAAATTCCTGCCACAAATTCCCTATTTGTTGAAAGCAAATAAAATAGTAGGTAGGTACCCAGTTCTGTAAATCTAGCATATTTCATAAACAGCGATGAAAAATTTAAAAAGGATCTCATCACCTATTTCTAGTTTCCACACAAAATCCTGCTGCACAATCCAGTGGGTAAAGTAGGAAGTTTATCCACAGTTACAGCACAGAAGGGCCTTGTCTACAGTAAGAAAGATCGGATATGCAAAAATGTAACTCAGTGCGTAGCTAACACACAATAGTAAAAATGCTTATGTCCTATTATGCAACTGCTTCCTCTCTTGTTAATGCCAGTGAAGCTGTTCTCATGTACACATTCATGTTTCCTCGGTGTAGACCAGTGTTTCTTAAACTTTTTAAGACCGAGGAACACCAAACAAATTTTTTTTTTATGAGGAACGCCAAGGATTTTTTGTTTTTTGTGGAGGGGGGGAAGGAGGTTGGGGAAAAGTGAGCCAAAAAAAAAAAAAAGGCGGACATTTTGAACTCTGTTGTTCTCCGCAGCACACCTCTGACTGCCTCGCGGCACACCGGTGTTCCCCAGAACACAGTTTAAGAAACACTGGTGTAGACTCAGTCTGTATCAGAGATGTTCAGGAATGTACAAGCAGGGTAGGTATTGAGTGTGAAGTGTGGAAATGGTGTGTGTGTACAAATCAAACCCAAAATCTTTTTTGTTGTTGTTTTCCAAAAGGTTGATAAATAATCACTCTGAAAAAACTGTCTCAAGTTTCACATAAGGTGAAATAGAAACTGTATGGAGGAGAGACAACCCTGTCAGAGGATTTGAGATAACACACAGCACTACTGATTATATAAAACCTTAAAAGATTAAGAAGATTTTGGGGTATCTGGCATTGGCCACTGTGGGAAGACAGGATACTGGGCCAGATGGACCTTATGGCTTCTCTTATGGTCTTAAGATTGCCTGTGTTTTTGGAGAGAAATTAGAAGATTTCATATTAATAATTTGTCACAACTAGTAAAATTGTTTTATTCTTCTTCTACGTTATTTTAAAAAATTGAACTTTCAAATGAATGATGTACAGGCAGTCCCTGGGTTACGCGGATCCTACTTATGTCGGATCCGTACTTACGAACGGGGCTTTTCTCGCCCCGGAGGACGCGGGTGGCGGGACCGCCCAGACGCGCTGCGGTCCTGCCCCCTGCCCCCTCTGGGGCGAGAAAAGCTGCTCCGCGTCTCCCTGGTCTGCTGGGGGGGAGACCCCAGCTGCTCCCAGCAGACCAGGGAGACGCCGAGC